ATACTTGACGATTGCCCCCCTCAGCCGAACTGTGATAATTATTGCTTCTGTTTCAGACTGAGATGGAACGTCTTGATCCCAGTGCGGAGCATCATTTCTCTCTACATACCTTTCATCGTCCAACATTTTGCGATCATTGCGGTTCGATGCTGTTTGGCCTGGCTAACCAAGGATACAAGTGTTCCGGCTGTAAAATGAGCGTGCACAAACGGTATGAATCACGATTTCAGAAAAAAATCCAACATATTGATGTGCACAGTCATACTCCTGCAAGTGAGGGCGTGTGAGAGGACGTGGAGTGCAGCCGTGGCAGCCTTTTTCACCAACTGATGCCATCCTAATCCGCAACAGTTGGTGAAAAAGCTCCCTGGGTGCGCTCCAATCCTCATACCCCTCTCGTTTGCTGGGATAATGATTGCAGTCTGCTCGCTGCGGATGGTGGGGCGTTTCAGAGCGACAGGGTTTGGCGCTCCGCCAGCCCGTTCTCCACCACTTGTTGAGCAAGAGGTAGTGACGTCTGGTACTAACAAATGATACAGTCTTGTCGCTTAGTCATTTCAACAAATAGTGGGAAACCGGTCTAGCGACCCGCCGAACCCATCCTTCCTGACACGCCCCTATCATCCCAGCGAGCGATGCTGTGGCAGTGAAATAAGCCGATTTTGTCGTGTGTGTAAGAGGAAATAATCGAAGTCTCTGAATCTGAATGAATGAATGGAATCTCTCATTGAATTTAATCTAAAATTACCGGTGTTTTCAAAATAAGTTTTCAGATGTAAGGCGAATGTTGCCAAAAACTGTGGAGACAACAGTACTCAGAGGCCACCTGTGGCGACGTACGCGGCCACTAGTGGCGCGGATCTCCGCTTCCGTGAAGCAGGTGATTTTTTTGTAGGCCGACTTGAGTTTTGTTTGCATCAGTGCATACTGTGATGAAGAACTGACGCGAAAGCGTACTACCTTTGTCGAATTTTTGCGAGTTTTTTCAAAGGAGTGGATCTGATGATCTATGAAAAATTGAGGAGAATGCGTGGAAAGGGTTAGAGTTGTAGGGTAAGGGCGCTGAGGCGCAAAGTTGCTCCAGTGACCTTACCTCCGAGTCCAGCCTCTCAGCAAAAAATGGTGTGACCAGGCGGGTCGAATGAGAGCGGAGACTTCGCTGCCTTTTGTGAGGTCGGACCTGTACTCCATTGCTCAAGCGGGCACCAACCACGTCTGCATTCGTGCCTGCAGCGTGCTAGAGTTGCTAAATGGGTTTTCTGTGCCCGAGGGACACGACGACTTCTTACCACTGGTTGAAAGCTTTCACGAAGAAGTCTGACCATCGCGTAGGGGGGGGGTCATCCAGGTGTTCGCTTGGCATCCCATGGAATCCAGTCGGTAATCGCTCTGGTCCAGCGGTCATCCTCACGAAGGGAAGCCTCGAGCCATCGGGAATCCCGAGCATCGCTATTCCGACCAGCCTTGAATGATGCTGACCGCATGCTCATCCTGCTTTCTTAGAATACAAGTCTTCCGAGACAAGTCAGGGCAGA